TCTTAATTCTTCATCCTTTATCATTCCAGTTTACCTCTCATCGTCTTCAATGTAGATATCTCTAATTATTTCCAACTTTTTCCATTTATAACTAATCCTTTCTTTTACTCCGAAATGAAGGAAATTAGATTATTAAATAATATATTTCATAAAAATTTATTTCATATAACACATATCAACCAATAAACAAATATAAATGATAAGTGTTGTGCGATACGTTTCGTTTCTTTTAAAAGCACAAAATAAAACATAAACCAGGCTAGAAAAACATGAAAAACGAAACGATCATGTTAGTTTTGCCGTTGTACTTTACTTTCTCTTAAGTACACCATCGATTAGATCGATCACTATTACAGCGTTATGTATGCACATGTCGTTAGCATATCTAGGATGTATCTATGTATTTTTGTTTATCAAATGTGTACCTATGTCAGTTATATTTTTAGTGCTTATACCTAGACAGTACACAGTATGAAAAAAGCATTTTCACTCTTTAGGTTCCTTTTTTTTTTGAGGAGTTGGAGATGAAGAAAGAATAGTTATTAAAATACGGGTCCAATGCAAAAGAATGAAGGAGAATTTCACTGATGCAATGGAATGGGTAGATGAATAATGCAAAAGCCTGTAATGAAAATGAGTTATTAACAACAGTTATTCCTTTTTTCTGTTTGAAAATATTCCAACCTATACTAAGAATTGATTTATAACAAAAAAACATAATATGACTTTAGACAAATTTCATTGCTCATCGAGAAATGATTCGATAGACCAAGGACGCGTACATGATGTAACCAATCAATCAACCAATATGTTATCTAACATAATAATACAAATTTTCATTTGGTTGTCTTCTGTAAACATCAGTCAATATCTGAATCACTTACTGAACAGCACAAAGAAAGAAACAGCGTTCAAGTCAGAAGTGCACATATTCCTTCTCATAGGGTCCAGGAATAACAACATACGTTAAAATAGTTCACGAGAACGAACAAACGAGACTAAATACAAGTCAGATCATGCGTTATTGACAACTGTCACCGGCGTTCTTACAAAGCAGACTCTTCGGGAAATGCTCATAACATATAATATAGTTAAATAATTAAACAATCTATGAAGATAACACAGAATGGAACACACACAAAAATATGTAGTGTTCAATAAATTTTACTGCTTTTACTGATCATCAATAGATTGTCTAATTTTAATTGTTGTTTTTCTCTTTCTGAATTCAATGGGTCCATCTATTTTCTTTCGTTTTACCACTGCACTCTTATTGCTAAATGTGATGAGGTCTTCTGGTGCCAAAATCGGTTTGCTGGCTCGTTTTCGCCCTTGTTCCTCAGTAGGTAACTCCCAATTTCTAAAACAAGTAAATATCCAATACAAGTCTTATCAGTTTATTAATGAACTCTTGTGATAACCAACTCTAAACCAATAAATTTCTCCATCGAAACCAAATTCCGATTTCAACTTTATAAAACTATCACGCATGTTGTGACATTACCTGATATGCATATTTTATCAACAATTTCATGAATTAGCAAGAAAAACCAAAAAAAAAAAATAAAAAAAAAAATAAAAGAAGCCTACACTTTTGGCTTCGCCAGAATTTTCTCTATCGGTACCCACGGACCGTATGGACTAGACTGCGGTGGCTCTTTCTGCTCTATAATCTCTTCAGTAATTTTCTCCGTTTCATTTTTGATATCGATATTCTCTTCCTTGAAATTCGAGTATTCATTCTGAATAAATCGATTACAACTGCTCCTTCCTAATGGCTCCTCCTTCGTCAAATTCAATGTCAGTTTCTCTTGATTTGAATTCTGGAACAAAATTTATTTGACTGGATAGCTTATAAAAACAAAATAAATTTAATTCGCAAATCTTCAGGTCAATTTTTGCCAAATTTCCCACTGTAAGGCATTTAATAATGACCCAGCTTCTCTCGAAAATTAAGAACAGGGATATGAGGGAAACTGATGCAAAAACCATTAAGACTGATTTTCTGAAAAAACATACTTCATCAAGAAAAATATTTTTTCGGAAATTCTCACCTCAGAAGATGGAGGCAGAGGAATATCACATTCATTAACAGCAAAATTTGTAGCGTTCATCTGTGGATCAAATTTCATGATTTGCGGTTTTTGAGACGGACTTTCTCCCATCTCATTCATAGAAGTTGACTGATAAGTACTTGGATTTTGAACATCTGAAAGCAAGACATCCAACATAAAAAAAAAAAAAAAAAATGTGAAACAAGGGCATAATTGACAATGCACAGAGGATAATGTAATGCTGAGGTGACTTACTTGACGAGATCTCTTTTGCATTTCGTTCTTCTAGAATTACTTTTTCAGTCTCAGTGTGTGAAAAAGCGCTTTGTCGTATCTTCGGTGCTTTACTGATCCCTGAAGTTTCTTGCTGACCCCAATGACGACGCTGTTCTGCAAACTGATTTGTAAGCTATGAACTGAAGTTCTTGAATCACTTTACGAACAATTTTAAATGAAGAGGCACTGCGAGTTGATTAACAAGGGAAATGAGACAGTCGTTGACAATTGCTTATTGCAGGAACATTGCCATTTCATACCTTCCTTTAAAATATGAACCAAATATACCTGATTTCAATATATTTGGATCAGTAACTTGATTCCTAGTCACTGCATCAGTCTTATTCTCCATCATAGCCAATTTCATAGCGTACTGTTCTGCTGTGTAGTAATTTTGGGGTTGCTCCCAAACGGTTACTGTAAAAGATCAGATAAAATAAGTGAGCAAATTATGAATCGACAAAGCAAGTAGAGCGTAAATAGGTACGTAAAAATGAATAAACAGAGAAATATGCTACAGTTACTTCGATTAATTAAACACAAGTTGATCCATAAATCATACCTCCATTATACATATGAAAATAATATAGTGCACCATTGTCTGCCCTAGCTTCAACCCAAACTGTTTCACTTTCTGGATCACATTTCTCATTTTCTGTTTTATATTCTGCTTTCTTCTGCTCTAATTCCTGCTAAAAAGAGAAAATTTCTTAGTAGCATGTATTGATCCAATTCAATCTAGAGAATGAAACTTGAGATCACTATATTTACCACAAATGAAATCTTTGCATTTACCATAGAGAAACCAACCTCTTTCCTCCGCTGCGCCATCTGACGAGCCATTTCAGCGATTGAAGCACTATGTACTCGTGGATCCATATATTTTTTTGGTTTCGGCAGCGGACCGGCTATTCCCGCTGAAACTTCATTTTACATTAATTAGCCCAATTTAAACCAAATAAATCATATTTTGCTTTATTCATTTACAAATCAACTCACATTGATTTCAGTATATTTATAAAAAGTATTTTCTTTTTACGAACCCGAAGGACATGAACCACCAATTCCCATATTTTTGCTCGCCGCAGATTCCATCATCGCTAACGTTGCTTGTAAATCACTCTTCTGTAAATTCCAACTGTTGCATTAAGTTTCACACAACTTAAAGCAGATTCATGTATAACATATAAAAATGACCGTTTTCTAACAACGACCACCCAACCATTTCATTTTTTTTTAAAAAAGTTTCCTTAAAATCTTCTCTCACACGATATATTATTCGCTATATAAAAGGATGAAGCAAATTAAGCAAACTGTCAAGTATTGTGACCTCTTTTTCTTTTTGTTTGTTTTGTTTACCAAGCTCTCGTAGTTTAGCCTGAATAGCAGCTTTGTGCTTTTGTCCTCCTTCATGATGCTCTATACTAACTCGATTATCCGCAAACCATACCTAAAAATTAAATGGAGATTAAAAATTAAATAAAAATTAAATAGAGGGCCATTCACATTGGCTTTTCAACAATACAAAATAACTCTTGAACTGAAAGTTTCCATTCTCACTCTCATTTATAGAGATGCTAGTTTTATGTCATAACACAAAAGATCACATTTGTTTATAAAAATAGAAAATAAACAAAATATCATTATTGAAATATATTTATTGAAACAAAATATCATTATCTAATCATAATGTTTATTTATTTATCGATATTGAAATGACTGCAATAAATTTGAATTATTACCTTACATATCTCGCAAAATCTCCTTGCGTTCGACTTCCAAACATCCGTCATCTTTTCAGCACAACGTTAGATTTCGAATAAAATATGTCCAGGTAACTCATACACACTACGGTCTCAAATAAAACACAACCTTATCACCCAACCACCGTCAAACTAATCCCAACTCAGGCGATCCAAAATATTTGAACACAAAAATCGGCCTTACGGCCGACAACATGTCGCACTGTGAAAGAACCTGCATCCGTCCTTGCAATGTTTTCGAGCACCTCACTATTCCCAGGACTAGTCATCATTCTTTATGCAGTAATATTCTATTCTTATAATCATAAAGAAAAAGTAATATTCTCATTCGACTTGACTTGATATATATGACATAAAATTCGGAGCTTAACAGTTAGCAAAGTCAAATGTTAAGTATTATAACTATAACAGTATTGGATACTTTTAAATTTTCAAACTTCACTTTTAATTGGAAAAACATTATCAATAATGTGTAATTAATTGAGATAAATGCAATATCAGTATCGAAATGAAATATCACATACGTAGCGCACTTTGCATATGAAAAGTTATAAATAATTAAGGGAATGTAACGCTAATCATTCCCATGAACATTTCATCGTAGAAAAGATAACAATATCAACTGACTGATGTCAAAAAAACAGTGGATTACAATTTTGCAAGCTCACGACTAAAACTAAGTAATTGACACTAGGATTTCCAGGCCGTGAATCTTTCACGTGACCCACTCTTACGTTTCAATAAATCGCGACTAATTAAAGTATTAGATAATACTGGTAATTCTTATCAAAATTGAAAAAAAATTGACAAAAGTGAAAGTTTTCAAAAATTCATTTGTTACATAGTGATGAAAGATCGTTTTGCAAGAACTGAGGTTCAATATCAGTCTATGCTGTTAACATGAGAATTATAATGGATCATAACTATTCGGATCCACAGTAGATTCTCTATCCAAAAAATCTCTGGTACTCAACATCTCGGCAGTTTTACGGTCACTTCCCCTGTCGAATTTACCTTTATTATAGGTAAATTTATTGCTTTTTTTGCTTGACAGCTTTTTCCTTAAAGAGGATTTCGTTTTTGATTTTGCTTCCACATCCACAAACTCATTACCAGTTCTTGCTTTCTGCAATATCAGTATAAGGATTAAGAAGCTATAAATTACCAACAACTTATTCTCGAAAAAGAGGTAAGAAATGGCCTCAATAATCAATTCTCGGAAGTAAACTGTTATGAAGTTATTATGAGAACTTAGATCGAAACATTGGAGCTTCCTGAATAATCTTCGGAAAAATTAAATCTCACCGATTCGTTTGTATTATCTTTCCTTATACCGAGATGATCAGTTTTAGTGCAGATGAACGGATAATGTCCAATCTCGTCTTCGCTCTCTGAATCAGCGGGTATAGAAGCAACCAAAGGATTTGGACCCGAATCATCTGGCTCTCTATATATTAGTTCTAAAAAAATAAATTCCTATAGTTAACAATCCATAAATAATACATCTGCGATTTTAAATAATAATGAAACTAGTCATGTTTATGTCTTCTTTGCACCATAACAAAAAGGAAAAAAAAAGACCTGTATTGTTCTCATTATCTTCGATATCGTTAAGCCAAGCATCTAAATCATCATTCCAGAATTCCGGATCCATTTTGTTGCCAAAAGCTTCCATTTTATCGTTGTCAGTTACGCTCTCTGTCAGATTGACAATCGGTACTTTATATGCTAGAAATAACCTTTAGAATGAAAAAAGGAGATGACTGAAAAACAAATAGTTAAAACATAAATAAGTTATTGCAGCAAAAAGTACCCATAGGTGTCTGTGGTTCATTTTTCGAGTTACCGAATAATTGCAATCGAGAACTATTCAATGTCATCCTTTGTTTTTGTGTAATATTTGTTTTCTCAACTTCCAGCTCATCTTCAGATGATACGTCTTCTTCGTACGTAGTCACCATATTGTTCACTTCCCTCAAGAAATAAGTGATCAACTGAATATTCATTACAATTCTAAGTGAAATAAACAAACTTACTCATCGCTGTTAACCAGATGATTCGATAGGACATCCATTACAGGTGCGCTTTTGTTTATTAATTGCTCACTATTATCTACTTGTAAAGATGATGTAGTGATTGATGTAATCGAATAATCTGTTGAATTTGCTAAAAGAAATTTTTGCTATAGACAAAATATACTGTAGGAATTCTGATAACTTTTTCTCAAAGAACTCAAATAGATGTACCTGAATGACGTCTGATAAAGGAAGGAGATGCAACATTTGGCGAATGCGCAGCAATATTAGACGATGAGTGAACAAAAGGTTGACAGTATGGCTCAGCAAATGGTATTGGATGTCCTTCACCACATGGTAATCCACCTTTTACTCTATCGGATATTGATACAGGAGCAACTTTTTCAGCGGCAAGACGTCGACGAGTTGTGATATTTTCCATAAATCTGTCATGAAAAATTTAGGTGTACAAAATTTGAAATTTTTTTGTGATATAAATGAATGTAGCTGATTTAATTTTCCCTTCATAATGAAAATTTTACAATACGAAAATCAAAAGGGATAAATAAGAGGATAAAAGAAAGATCACCTGTCGTAATTGGCATCCTGTGTTTCTTCATACATGTCCAATTCATCAAAACTTAGCTCAATATCCCGTCGATTAGTCTCTAATTGACCAATAAGCGTTTCACGCTGTAGTAAACAAAAGATATAAATATTAAGCAGTTATTTTGAACAAAATGTATCAACGAATGCTCTATTTTTTTTCTTTACGTAGATGGACAAATTTTATTTTTTACTTTTAATTTTTATGCTAAATTAAATAAATCAGATAAGTAAGCTCAAAATAGTCCATTTAATTTAATTAGAACCCTAAATTTTGTTCAGAAACCGCAGAAATTTTGCATTTGCTAACAACACATTAAAATAAACAAGCACTGTGTGGAACTCTAAGTGTAGAACAAATCACCTGTAGATATAAAAAAGGTATATTGAAAAAAAGATAGAGGAAGCGTAAACCAAAAGAATTGCGCATTGAACATTGCATAAAACGAATCTCCGAAGCTTGACTTCCATTTGGACATTCTTTTCTGTAAATGAAAAAAAAAAAAATTACAGTTTGCAAAAGAACAACATACATGAATACAGTTATCAAAAATATTCTATTTATCCAATGATAATGGAAACATAAGCCTTCTTATCAATAGATATGCTGCATTAAAATGATAATTCCATAATTAGGGTATTCAGTAATTAGTCATAAAAAAGTTTTATTTACCACCAATAGTCCTTTTACAAGCCATAAACTACTTTGTGAAATAACATATGGTTAACATATTATCAATAATTAATACTTTAATCATATTAATGATTTCAATGTATAGCAATACCTATTTGCTACATACGTATGATATCTAAGAGTATTCATCAATCGATAAGTAATAAGTACAATTGTAAAGGTGCTATTATGAATGCTAATCAACCTTTATAAAAAATGAAGTAGCATAGATAAGTTAAGAATAATTAGATTATGAACATTATGAAGTTATTTATTTTCCTTTATTAAAATTAGAAAAAATCAAAATTTTGTAATGGTTATATGCCTGATATATTTCATTATTTCAAATATTTAGCTTTTCGAAAACAATAAATAATCTGCATAAAGGTGAAACTTCGCTTTATAATACTTGAAAACAGCTATTTCATTAATTATCATTTTCTCAAAAACACTGAATTAAGAAAGAAAGAAAAAATAGAGATGCTATTATATATGTTTGAATAAAGAAAAAAAAGAAAAAGGCTACCAATAATTTTCGGTTGGATGAAATTTATTAAATTCTTCTCATGTAGAATCATTTCATTGATTTTGTTAAGCAAAAAAGAAAAAAAAAGACAGCTTACGTTTGGCATCATCTAATACTACACTCTGTAGATTCGCATATTTAAACAGTAGTGGCTAATTTCAAACATTTTCAAGGAAAAAATTCATTTATAATCTACTTTCAATTAAGAAAAAATAAAACAGTGATTTGTTGAAGAAATTAATTCAATGGATCTACAGTTAGTACTATCACAAACAAATATACAATGCATACTTTGAAAAGTCATAGCTAAATGTTACAAAAAAAGCAAAAAATAAAATTTGCAATAGGCAGCAGTTATATACTGGATATGCATAAAAGAAACTATATGAGATAGAGTGATACATTATTATTTATTTACAGTTATATCAATGTGATAAGGCCCCTGAAACTTATCAAATGTCAACAGTGAAAATGTTGACAATCAATAGCATGCAATTTGTAAATATCCATGTAAACTTTTGTTTTTTTTTTAAATACTGATAGACTTTAAAACTTATGAACTTTAAATAAAAATTTAAAATATTCCAATGCTTTCTCAAAACATTCCATAAGTTTAAGATTTCGATTCAAGTTTTCATTACATAATAATATATGATATGCTAATAATGTCAGAATAATGATGTCATCTTATCAGTAAATGGAAAATCTTTTTTTAAAAGAAATTGTGATTACTAATTGCTATACAGTGCATGAATTGTGCTAGGTTTAAATACCAATATAATGCAAAAAAAGAAAAATAAAAAAGAATTAGGAGAGATCGATGTATTGACAAACTGGAATAAACTGGTCGGGCAAGCTGAACTGAACCTCCCGGACATAATGTAACTGTTGTCGACAAAATGGACAGGAAATATCACTGTCATTTCTTTTATGATATTCCATCACTATTTTCATCAAGCAATTTGAACAAAGCATATGACTACAACCAAGTTGTCGATCTGCCACATACTGCAGGCAAATTTTGCATTCATCAATATATTCCGGACATTTATGAAGTTGTAACAATGGTGATTCTATTGCTGTAATTCTTGTTGCAGAACAATTAAGTGTGTCAGTTTCGTTGTCGTTACCAAAATTTGAAATAGATGAAGTAGTAGAATTTATTGTAACTGTCCTAGTATTCCTTGATCTCTTCAAAAGCCCAGTTGGCTCTAAACTTAATCGTACACCACTATAAATTGCAAATAACAGAACAAAAAAAAAGTCAACTTTTAAAATACTAAATGACCATGCAAATGAGGAAGAACTGAAAAACTCTGATGTACGTCTCTCAAAATCAAAGAGTACATGCAAAGTACTTGTATGAATTACAGCTGCTGCAGATACTGCCAACGATAATACTAGTAACACTCGATGACTATGTCGAGAACTTCGAACTAACCAGCCGCTTGCTTGAAATCGTCCATTAATCCAGTCGATCTCTACACGTCCGGCTGATATCATATAATGATAAAAGATAGCACACCAGAAAAATAATATGAATGAAACAGTGGTTAATCCTGTTCGTGCAGCTATAATATTAGCCATGCTAAGCTTACCTTTAGGCCACTGAATTAGCACGAAAACATAAAACAGAAATGCAGTAAAATGACGAATAAATGTTGACCATGAAAGTTTATGGAGAATAGTGAAACAACTGCCCAAATTGTTCGAAAGAGTAAAATATTGTAAAATAGCAGAGCTCATTGTGTAAATGATTTATTGTAATTAAATCGATGTATCTTTCAAAAAGATTAATTTTTGAAAAATCTATTTCCAAAAATATTTCGGTAGCTGGAAGAATAAAGACAAAATATGTATCGAAGGAAGCTTATCAGTAGCAACACGTTTTGAATGAATGAATTGTCAGTGGAATAAAATGCACCGAATGAAAACCTATACTGTGATCAAAAAGAAAAAGGAAATGGAAGAGCAGTCAGTAGTGACTATTGATTTTTTTGAAAGTTTACATTTACTCAGCTGTAGTCATCATAAATAACTTCAAATTTTGAAAAACAATCTGTCATGCAACTTCTACCGATCCTTTTTATACCAAAGATTGTATACTGCGATCAAAGATTAAGAATGAGCGCAAATATTTCCAGATTAACTTAATACAGTGTTCATGGCTTCACCCATTCAAAATACCAGCTTCTTTTTTCTTTCTTAAAATGAATTCGCGGAGTTTCAACTCTGCTGACGTCAGAATTAAAAAAAAAAGAAACCAAACATCACTGTTTTGATCATACTTTTTTTTCTTTTGTAATCCTATTTGTTCATTAACTTTTCTTTCAATAATAGTAAATACCACATCATAGATAGTCAAATTTAGTCGTAAATCTTAGTATAATTTCTCAGTTTGAACAATTATCAGCATAATAATAGATATGCTTTACATATATAATTCGGAATTTCTCTCATTTTTATTCATTGCAGCACCATTTCATAAATACTTCAACTCTTCCAAAATTCCACACATACAGATACATATATGCATACATACACAGACTCATTCTTAAATAACAGACTTTGAATAACAACAATGCTACAATCAGTACACCAATAGCACGTCTTTATTTTTCACGCATGGCAGGTTATTTGACCACACTAATTTAGACCTTATCATTGCAAAAAACAAAAAGCACTCAAAAAAAAGGATGAAATCATATCAAGCTTTTTACTAATGATATACACTTACCGTTTATAGGTTTCTACAAATAGTCGACAAATATCCTCGGAAACTTGTCGATGATGACCCATGTCCCGCCTGTTTCCTATAATCAGTACTGGTATATTGCTAGGAACGCTGTCCAATTCTCTGGTCACATAATCCCATGTCCTGAATTACAAATAAATATACATCAATGAATGAAAAAGAAAACAAAATGGAATAGCTGCGGAAAACATGGCACGAATTTAAAAGATCCTTCCTTATATGGGCTATGTTTGAAGTACATCTATTAGAAGATTTGTAACTGTCATTAAATGATTCTTACAGAAAAATCCGCACCAGTTTTTAGTAATATCAAACATAAGTATAACTCCATTGGCGCCTTTGTAGACATCAACAAACTGCGCATCACAAGCAACTTCTATGAACTGAAAACAAGCATAATAAACAGGAAGAATAATTTTAGTGATGTAAATATCAGGTGAGTACTTTCGACTCCATATTCTTCAGTTTCAGACCATCTGGTTTCACACGCTTCTTTGTGCTTTGATCAACTACATCCCATACATCTACTTTGACAACGTCATCTGTCGTACGATAGTTCCATTGTATAGACGCAACCTAACAAACATTATCGATAAAAAAATTCAGTGGATATTAGTGAATAGTTAATCCAAATATTTCTTATTCATAATTCATGGAACATTATAATTTTCTCCCAAATCACTGTAACAAGAAAAAAAAAAAAAAGCAAACTGTATTTCACTTACCTGTATTTCATTAGTTGGTGCATAATCATCCAGAAATGGCAAACCTTGTAGACGCCGCCATAGAGAAGTCTTTCCAACATTTCGGTCACCACGTATTATAATTTTCACTACAATATTACTTATATCGAACAGATTAATGTTATGACTGATATGAGCAGAATGTAAAAAAGGGAATAAAATAGTCTTTTACGAAAGAAGTATCACTTCAATTTGCATGTTAATAGTCATTTTTAAGAAATGATTTAGAAAATTAAAAGTTTCAAACAATTATCCTTTTTTTTTTAAAAAAAAGACTATAAATATCTATTCCTTCGCATCTTTTACGGACGAAATACTTACTGTTATATTGTACTCCTTTCGCATATTTCCTTTGTAGTTCTAGGTCAAGAGCAGCAATACCATGCGGCATACGTTCAAGCTCATTACCGCCATGACGATCACCATTGTCTACCCCACTGAATTTCTTCTTCAAAGCTGATATCATTGTTATGTAATTCAATGTATCATTGTAGTGTTTCCGTGATACCGATTTGCTGATTGATAAAATGCAAATCTAGACTTTTTTGAATCTTTGAAGTGTTACTACTGACGAAACTGTAGACAACAATTGATTGGCCAAAGCTAGAAATTGTTTTCTCGTCCCAGCATATTTATTTGTTTATAGTACATTTGGATATACGTAAGCGCATCCCCAACGAAAAGTTAACGGAATAGGCGATTAAATTGATGCACTCATTTCATCAAAAAACTGTTATCGATGCTAAATAAAATCTATGTGCCTCATATTTATATAATATGCAACGAAACATAATCCAAATGCATATTAGATTAAGCGAACTGAAGAAAAATAAACATAATATCTAGAAAAATTCCTTCTTTATTCCAAATATTTCTCCACTGATCAATGAGAGAAAGTACCACTTGTTATAATAAACGTTCAACTTACACAAACAATTTTTTTATTTCGGAAATTCATAACAGAAAACAAGAATGTGGAAAGAGGAATGAGATATATTTGAACCCACAATGGACAAATACACAATTTATATATATTTACATCATCGCAATGCAAACATATATACAGGAAGCATTCCTTTCGGAAAATTCTGTTGCTTCTTCTCGGCCATTAGTGTAAGGCCGACATTTTGAAAGAGCTGCAATAATGCATACTTGGGACGCGTCCAACTATTATCTTCTTCATCAAAATCATATCGATCTTCAGAGGATGAAACGTTCTCCTTTAGAATAATAGAACCATTTTCTTTCAAACCTTCCTGCAAACCGCTTATGTTTGGAATTTATGATAATATAAATTTGATTTCAATATCTATTGTTAAAGAAAATTCGCAATCAAACGAAATTCACCACACCTTTTCTTTTATCTGTCAGTTGAAGTGAAATTTCTATTCACAACCAAGTCCACTGCTGCTGAATGGACATAGCGTTGTGTGGGAAATGAACTGGAAATGCTGTTTGAATGAATATATGCCACGATCTAACATCCTTATTACAAGTTATTAGCTTCGTAACATACTTTCACCCAAACAGCTAAAAATAATAAAGTAATGAAGTTATCGCAAATAACTAAACTTTGAAAAGATCAACCAACAAAAATATGCAGAGATAGAAGGAGACGTATTAAGCTCTTGTAGAAATAAGAACAACTAAATAAACTACTCGAAATACTTTTCATAATTTTGAATTAGTTCTTAGGATATATTTATGATTCCTCGTTAATCGGCAATGAAAGCTTACCTTACATCTTCGGAGGAATTTACTAAAATCGTCATCAGTTAGATGACCAGTAACCCATTGTATCCATATAAGATCATAATGACAAGATAATGGTTCGAATTGTTGCAAACTGCATACCAATTTATTACCAATTCTACTGTTCTCTTTACCAATGTAGTTGGCAGATTCTGGAATAATTTGTGAACTTCAAGACATTAGCACAATAATTAAATGCTCGAGAATTACTTAGCCTTGCTAATATTTTCTTCGTTGTTATAATAAAAGCAATTATTAAATTATTACTACTGTCGAATTAATAACCTCAATTACTCATTAGTCGTTACCACTCAAAATAATGCTTTTGTTATCAATCAGCAACCGTTACTTTACATTATTCAATAAAAAAGTATTATAATCTCACTGTTCACTAGTCGTTATTGTGATCAACTGCAAACAGCTAATATACATATAAGAAAAGGTGTACAAAAAAATTGCTTCTTTTACAACATTCGTAGTAGATATTTTCGCGAGTATTGAAAGCAGCAGGAAATTAATAAGTACAAATCAGCTTACCTTGAATAAAACTTTCGGTAACATCTACCATATCCACTGATTCAAATAATGGTAATAACAGATGCTTGGTAACACGTCCTATGCCACAACCACAGTCAACAGCTCGTTCAAATTTTGTCAGCATTCCCTAAATAAAATAGCGATTAAAAAAATAATTCACTTCGACAAATGATGCGAACGACTTTGCGTACTTCCATGAGTTTCAATCTTTCGTATGAAAGAGATATCTTACTTCCTGCATTAAAAGTTTTATTAACACAAAATATATTATAATGTAAAATAAGTATCTTCATTTACTTTTAGTAGTTTATTATACCACTTTCAGCTATACCATTCTTCAATAAAGGATTGGTGAATCTTTTAGTGAGGTTATCACATCATGATGGAATGTTTCAGTGATAGACAAAAGTCAAGACGAACTTTAGCTTTCAACAGATTAATAAATTGTTTTGAAGCATGAATGTCGGGTACATGCAGATGAGCGAAGCCTCCAAGCATACCGTCTACATTACAAGATACGGATGCCCAGTATGCTTTAGCCTGAAATAATTCATTTCGAAATAAATACAATAATTATTGTAAAGAATAAAAAGTCATCAGCATAATATAAATAATTTATCTGGTATTAAAGCTTTCTTATTAAACAAAATCACTTAGTAAACAAGGAATCAGGATATATATTTTCTGTCAAAATTATAGCTACTTGTTTCCATGAAAATCCCTAATTATTCTCCTACCGTTAAAATCAAAAATAACAAACCTTATCAATTCTAACATATATACTTACTCACTCACTTAGCATGAATCAGCATTACTACCTTTTCATCATATTCATATTGTTATCTAAATGCTCGTAAAAATGGATATAAATTGAACAATCTATGAAATATATCAATGAAACATGATCAAATAGAATATCGATAAAATAAAATTGAATGGTAGGATATAACAGATTAGGACTGAATACTGAAAACATAGGAAAGGATAAAACATAGGGATAAGATTAGAAAGATTTTTTCACTAAATGCTATTAATAACTTACTATCAATGATCTTAATTCAAAACTTTCACATCTGATGCAAATTTTTAATTTATGACAAAATTTTTGGAAATTAAAGAAAAATATAATTGTGCATTTACCTTTTCATAGATTGTATCCTTGTCATCTGGATCAGCATTTGATTTTTTCTGATGGAACACTGAATTCATCCTAATTTGAATAGTTCTCAATATTTTTCTCTTCTTCAATATACCATTATTAATTATTGCACTTCTATCCATTAATCTTTCATTTTCAACATCAAATGTAGTCCTTCTAGAAAAATACTAATAATATTAAAAAATTAATTTCACGCAAAATGATGTAATGCGTAATCTGAAGTAACGTAGCATAAATTAAACACACGCAATATTGACAATCTAACTTAGGTAATGCAATAATAATATAAAGTAACGTGTTGTTAAGTAAAACCTATGTAATATAATATTTAATTACGACGTTGTCCACGTATAACACTAATTTCATATATGATGTAATGTTTACTAGTTTGAGCCACAAAAACACAAATTTTACGCAAACGAAAGTAGCACCACTCTATGAAAAAAAGAACCCAATGTGCGATCATCGCAAATCATTTATCGCTGATGTAGTTTTATCATCTTTAATCCATCGGAGTAACGGTAGACGTAAGCGTATAGCATAGTTTCCTCTACACTTGAGTTACTGGTTAGTACTTTCAGGATTTCAGGCTAACTAATTCAGGATCAACTTCTGTGCAAAATACTTTGTTTCAGATATTTCCACCATTTGCAGTTAGCCTGAAAGGTCACTAAATAATTTGGAGTGTTTTTTTACCTTATCGAAAGGTTGCAGGATGAATTACTACTAATTTATACTTTTGCATTCATCGGCATATCGTAAGCATTTGATCAGTTTTCTCACCTTTGCATTTTTCATCTAGTGACTTATTTCACTCACGTATCCGTTGCGTATGGAACTTTTTTTCATCTTTCATTAACGTTATATATTATCATTTTTTATAGATAAATTGTAACTTGCGTGAAACATTTCTGATTCATTATAAATAAATGGCCATGTCTTTTTGGTCTTATAGTGTTCCTAGATTTGAAGGAACTATATAAAGTGGCGTTGTGATTTTCCTTTTTTTTATATAGCAAAGTAAAAGGTAAATGTTTTTATCTTACTAATAAAATGCAACTTTTTTCTGTTTAATTCTTATTTTTACAAAAAAAAAAAAAAAAAGAAAGAAAAAAGAATGATCAATGAATCTTTGAAATTATTTTCTTTTCCTATTATCAGGGAAACGGGGAAGAGGTAAAATTTTGAAAGATGTTTTGAAATTTATGCGTGATTGGGCTGTTATTTTCTATCGTTTATCGATGTGCAAATATTTGCTTTGCTCTAATTTTAGAAGATACAGAATTGGTTATAAGAATATTGATTAGAATGATGATAGGAAGATTTAATAGTTTTTTTAGTAGTTCTCATCTGTTTAAAAAAATGATTTCAGCTATAAATATAATCCAGCAAAAAGAGATATGGACATCAAAAATCTTTTCGTGTCACCTGCACCACCGGGACCAATTGTTCCGGTACATGAACTTCTCAGAGCAGGTCTTATCATTGCTCTGTTTATCGTAACGCTTCTAGCTTGTTCTGTATGTTTATTGTTTTTTCCTTCTTATTTCTTCCTTGTTTTTTCATTGCCAAAAAATTAATATGATAAGCAAAAATTATGATTTTTGGCCAAATAAGGAATAGTTTCCCGTGAAAAAAATGTAAATTGCAACAAATTCCGTTACGTTATATATGTTACTATCCTTTCTGGGCTTTATTAATATAAATTATTAACATGAAAATTATTATCATAATGAAATATTACTGTTTAGTATTCTTTGGACTAATATAGTGAAATAATATTGATTGTAATTTACAGTTTGCATTCCTGCTTCGACGCATAGCAAATACAACTACTGGATTTTGGCCAGTACTTTCTTTGATTTCCGTATTTGGTGGTGGTGTGTTTTTAGCGACATGTCTCCTAGATCTGTTACCAGATGCAAAAGAAAGCCTTAGAAGAATTGAAAAGATGCAGCAGATCACTTATTCCTATCCAGTTATAGAAATTTTTATAGGTGTTGGTTTTCTGCTGGTACTTTCAACTGAACAGGTAATTTTTGATCTTAATTTAAAAAGTGGCATCTATGCTTTTTTCGATGATTATTCTTCCTGCATATTATGTATGATGGTAAAACTTTGGGACTTGGTAGCAAGGGTGAAACTTGATCTCCGAAGGCATTATTTCTTTCATATTTAGATTATTCTGTTTATCCGAGAAAAACAGTGTTATGGTTCCGTAGATATGAACGTTTTAATCAGCGGACACCACGATCATAACGACTCAAATCCTGAACTTTCAACTCCTTACTCTGAATGCGGTTTATTGTATTATAGACTGTTTCTAGCTTATTTTGTAATAAATTTCTATTAAAATCAATTTTTTTATTAGGAAATAAGCGATAATCATATTTCATGTTTAGACGATGAAGTTAACCATCAGTCTTTAACGCATACTCAATCGACACTACGAATTATTCTGCTAGTGATGGCACTATCGTTACATGCTGTGTTTGAAGGCCTATCATTAGGCCTTGTTAGCGGTATGAGGGAAATTATGCAAGTAAATATTCTAGTATTTTGTATTTTTTTTGAAACCATGAATAGTTTATAAAGTGAACTTTGTCCCTCTAAACTATCAATGATGTTTGCATATATTGCTTTCTAAATAAGATGTAACATCGAACCAACATGACAGTTGCATTATTCATTGATTCTTTTCGTAGAATTTAGTGTTAATTAAAGCACATATATGCAGATCTTCTTCGTGTTGCTCGTGCACAAAACAGTTATTGGATTTTCACTTGGAGTTCGTCTTGTAAAAAGTGCTTTAAGTCTTACGATGGCATTAGTATGTTCGATTATCTTCGCTGCACAAATTATTGTCGGAGGTTTTGGCGGCATTGCTATTCTAGATGCCGTTAGCCGTGGATCACCACTTATTGCTGGAACAGTTTCTTTTATTGCACAAGTAATTTTTGATACATTTATTGACATCAGTAATTGAAAAACAAAGTCCATCTTTGTTTTCCATTAACTGACTACCGTTTTACTTAATAAAATACTTTAAAAGGCTTAAATCTCTTATGTTTCACGCTGTATCTTGAAATATGTGAGTATTGGGAAAATTTTAAATATTCACATCACAATGATTAAAGAAGTTATTGTAGGGAAAGTGGGAAACCCACATAAGACAAAATCATTAAATCATGACATTCAGTCTGTTTGACTAACTGATATTTTCAGGCAACAGCGTGTGGAACATTCTTGTATATAACTTCTTTCGAAATATTGCCGCACGAGTTCCATCAGCGTCAATTTCGTGTCGCAAAACTCTTCTCATTGATCGTTGGATTTGTTCTTATTGCGAGCCTGATAGCTTTATTTCCCAACGGCTCAACGTAGAATGCCCTATGAACTTTATCATTATAGAGTTCTTCGCTACATGGTTTCACTATATTGCTATCATAGAAACCTTCTGACCACTAATGATGCTTATCCTCTTTTTATTGTATGAATACAATTACGCAAATTTATGTGAATGATTTGAATCATCAAACTAATTATGACGGACTCTAATACTTGATCACTCAAAATAATTCGTTTTCTTATTACTACATGTCCTCTTACACTAGTCTATTAACAGCTCTTGCAAAGTTAAGCAAACGTATGACATATACATTGAATATGAGAGTATCTGTTTATGCATCGATGATTTGTACATAAAAATTTGTTTAACATAGTACAAAGTACCAAGAAACAGTTATTGTAATCGATGAAATTTCCACAACATTATTATTCCATCGTTAAAAAAAAATTGTGGATTATTGGTCAAAAGACCATAAAACTAAAGAATTATCTAGAAGTTCCGGCGAATTTATATCTTCATATGTGCTCCCCAAATCAATATCCATTTGATCAAGTTGAGGGAACGGAAAGACTCTTTGTCCACTGCAAGTGGCTACGACTGGTTGTTCCTTATGGATGCTAAAAAAAACGAGATTGCCAGTGTTTTTCTCTTGAGAAACACCATCAAAGTACATGATGCCTGTCAGTTTGTTCCGTAACGGAATCCTCAGTTTATAGTAACCAATACAAAGCGAAAGTACTGGTCTCTTTTCTCTGTCTACTAAACCATTATTTCATGAAGTTTTTACATGCATTAACACGGAAAAGAAAATATTCTACAAGCGATGACACAAACCTCAGGCCACATAATGCTGAGCTATGTGCGGACAGTTGGGCGTATGGAGGCGGCGGTTCACCACCATTAGTGCATTTTAAATCGAAGATATATAATTCACCACTGCTACTGCCACTGAATAGATATGTGCCTGAACTGAAATATAAACATTTTACGAAGTCCCCTTTTCAGGTTAAATTAGTAACTAACCCGTATTACCTGTCTATGTCGAAATAAATACGCTGACTAGTTGTCGAAGGCCGTTTATATAAGCTGTATATCTTTCCAGGATACCGCAAGTCCCAACATATAATATCATCGTCCTAAAATAAGTCGACAGTCAACAAAATATTTAGAAGGAAACAATGTACTTAATACAAATTCAGCTTATATCTTTAGTTTCAACTCCTCTCCCATTCCTTCTGTCAGTGTGTAGAGAAAAAAAGAAATTGTTTTCATAAGTAGTAAACTGCAAATGAAAACAATGCCTTTCTTCCTGCTGTCAGTAAGAAGTTACCATCGGGACTATAGCGAAGTAAGGTTACTGCCAGCGGGCATTCGAACATGCATTCTACACTCGGCGAATAGTCCGAATAAAAACCAACTGAAAAATGTCTACATTGTTGACAGTTATTTCCAAAATGCTACATTTTATTTAGTTCACACATAATTTACTTATGAATTCGAGGAAATATTACAATATTTATTTCACGAGGAAAAAGAGGAAAGTTTACTTTACAAATAAATAATTTACCTGTTTTACCATATGATCCAGCAGCATAATTTGTTGGTAGTATGGGGCTGATAGCAATACAGGAGATAATACCTTTTTGTCCTTTCGATTCTTTATCTATAATAATGTGAAAGTGAATAAGAAACGTATAATTCGAAAGATAAGAGTAGCAGTTTGAAAATCTTCATAATTTAACAGATGAAATCTAAGATAACAGCAACCAATTTACTCCATGTAATCAGTTCGGAAACTTGATGTCCAGGACGATTCATATCAAACTTCCTAATGCTGCTTTTGTAGCCAGCATATAAGCAGGAACCATCAGAAGTACAGCACAATGAATGAGCATTATCCAATTCATCCTGCAATTCTTCAGTACCAACAAAATTTAATTGTCCAGTTGGGTGAAATGCTCTTAAAACAGAACTGATTGGATGACCAATGAAGAAAAAGGACATAATTAATTTTTATTGTAAATTAAAAATCTTAAGCACTGAATGTTACGTCCTATATTCTATTTTCTTGTATCCAACGCTTCCTCGAACATTGTTACTCAGTAATATTACGGAGATTAAAAATTTACCATGTTATTAATGCCACGAAATGTTGCCAACCACCGTCCGTCTGAATTCCATACATGGATTGGATGGTCCTTGCTACTTGTTACTAACCAATCATTGATCGGATGCCAACATGAGTCATAGATCAAATCACCCATACTCATTGAAGATTTCAACTTTAGCTTGAAAAATTTTTTTTCGAAAATCTAGGATACACAAGAAACATCTTTTATACACCATGAGAAATTTTTCTTGAAGAAATCAACTTAAAGATACCATAAATATCTAAAGTACTGCTTATGACAGTGTGTAAGATTTACATAATATACATGATAAATGAAAACCAACACTGAGTTTTTCAGGATCAAGCTGGAATATCCGAGCCACCCTATCTTGACTAGTCGTAGCTAAGTAACTACCCGAACTGCTCCATTTGCAACATTTTATGTAGTTGTTGCAAGAATGCGATATATTGAAACCATAATCAACAGACTTTGTTACGAAAAGCTCTCTCTCTCTAAATACTTCTTTGAAATTTGAATATTGTGGTCGTGCAATCTTTTTTCGTATTTCCTGATTATCATCGGCCTTCCGATTCTGTAAAATTTCATTTCATCTGCTGTCTGCCTCTTAAATCCTAAAGTAGCCTAATTTAAGGTTGGTAACTGACATAGGGAGATGCAAGCACAGAATCCATTCATTTAGTTGAAAATGCATTGAATTATCGGACAGATATTGATGTTTAGCATTCCGCAAATGACGTGGAACAATGAAAAATTATTTGCACAAAAACAGATTTAGACGTCCAGTTGAACATCAATTATAGCAGCTGTTTCAGACATCATAATTCTTACCGTAATATTACTTGAAGAAATATTACCACTTTCTTTTTCTGACAGTACGCTCACATTCCTTTTTCTAAAAGACACACCTTCTAGTCGAGAATTCTGAAACTATGTAGAAGAATTTTCAGAAGAACTGTTTTAAAATCAAGCAGAAAAAGACGAAAAACAAGGAACAATGACAGTATTAGACAAACTTGTTTGAGGAAGGCAGCAATACCCATGTGATAATGTCGCGCTGTCCAGTCATCATTATTTCCCTCATTTACAGATGATGAATCTGCAAAATCCTTGCTGCTAGAACAAGTGGGTTCCTGGAAAGAAACATTCCAATAATACTATATAATAAATGTGTTTGAGTTATATCTTTACGTACTGTTAATTTGGAGAAATTTTACTACCTGATTTTCAAATAAATCTAAAATACTAGTAATACAGGTTCAGCAAACATTCAAAAATATAACAAATATCTATAGGTATGAAGCATGCATAAAATTAATCACATAGTTTTTTTAGGGCTGTAAAGAAAAGAAACAAAAAAAGCTACTTCTCTAAAAATTAAATTTCAAACTCTTAATACACAAAAACTCAAAAAATTCTGGAAGGAAATATTAAGCAGTTTACACCTCAAGAATTGTTTCTAAACGATGATCCAGTGTAAAAGCTAATATCTGGTTCAGCAGCTACCTTAGTTACTACCACTCTTCCATTCACATAGCCCAGTGCTAAAGCCTCTACTTCCTCAAAAAAATGCAACTACTTATGAACATCATAAGCCAAGTGTAAGCAATATATATATGTCGAATAAAGAAATATAAAAATAAAGGGCTAACAGAACAAATGAAATTACGAGTACAGTACCTTATAAGACCACAAATAAATATTAATGACTACTATAATAGTAAAATTTGTCCCTAACCTTGCCATTTATATGATCAATCGTTGCTATCATGTCATTATCCCTCAAAGATTCGCTACTTATCACACCACAAAGCATATCGAGAACATCCTTTATTACATCTTTCAACGAATTATCCTCATTTCCATAATACATTATTGCTACTTCTCTGCAAAGTGAAATTATAAATGTTTTAATTCATTTGTTCACAATCATATCATAAATATCACAATGCATTCGAGTATTACACTATGAATGCAAAAACCACAGCATCACATAATCAGCGTATCATCTAACTAATCGCTTTATCTTTCTGTTGCATGCTGCAAATGGAAATATATAAATATTTCGAAAAACATAAAAGATGTAAGTGATTGGCTCTTTCCATCTGCATTAACTCAACTATTTATTTAATGTCATATAAAACTACACAGATAACAAGGACGAAGAAGAGAAGAGATAAAAGTGGGGTTGAGAAGTTAACATCATGAAAACCGAAAAAAGAGATGAAAGTAATGGTCATGTTGCAAATGTGGAGGTGATAAGAAGTGTGATAAGAACTTTGAAATGATAAAATGGTAATTAGCAAAATGTGCAATACACACCTTTCAATGCATGCAAACTTTCACACACTAACTGAAGCATTATTACCTAAACCTGAGCAAATTGATTAAACTTAGTTAACTAAACCTAAGCAAACTGATCATTTAGAGTTCACGTGAAAATTGACGCAGAAAACGAAAATACGCCACTTCTTATACCATAACTTCTGTTCTTGCCATAATTCTATAATTTTTAATTACGTAAAAATTTACTTATATATAATTCTGGTTTTATTGTTATTTGATAAGTGGAATTCATAGAAGATTCCAGCCCTAGCGAAACTTTTACAAAAACGAAGAGAAAAAAATTAAACCTTCCAAACGTAATCCCAACATCAGCTGGTATTTCGCGGCCCACGCAATCCCACGTACGCGGAAGACTGTTATTTGAAATATCCCAATCTTCACATTTAACTTTACGGACTTAGTTATACTCTTCATTTATAGAGCTTGGGCAAGTTTTTTTCCTTAGATTTCTTTAAGAATATTTCATTGTCGATGAAATGCGTAAATTAAGTAAGTTAATCTATCTTTTTCAGAGTGTGAATAATGACCGATGAGGATGAATTAAGTACGCGATATGCTTT